TTGAGCACAAAATCCCAGAGAGCAGTGCATGTCGGACAGTTTATCAATTATGTACCGCTGGATTGCGTCTCACTATAGTTGTTACACGTGATGAATTTAATGAATCTTGTCTCTATCTAACGACTCTACACTTTTTTCTTTTTTAAATCTGTCCAGTAACGTGTCACAGCATCAGTACACTGCTTCAATCTTTTGCTATTATGTGTGTACTAAGTTTGTCGACGCCATTATAATGACACAAATCACTATGCCCATTCATGCCAGAGTCCCGCGTAAAAAGTGATTGACAGGTGGTCATTTGTGTGTAACTTATCTTTATTTAGTTATGATTTGGTTATGGGTAAAACAAAGACCATGCGGGTCATGAAGTTGAAATGGTAGGCATTCATAAATAATCAATTCACCGCTGCCTATGACGACGATGCCATCGTCCATCGCAATGTTTCACATTAGACATCGTACGATGCCAAATTGGTCGACATGACCCAACCCTTATGTCATGTCCATGTGTTGTGCGATAAGTTGATATATTGATTATTGTCAGGTCTTAAAATCACAGGTAAAAAAACCTCTAAGCATTACAAAATGTTAAAAAAATAATAGAATTAACTATACGCTGAAATTCAAACTATTTGTATCTCGGTCATTAAAATACTACTCCTATTCGGGATGCTTTTGAATCAGAGTAACACTGTTGTAAAGCAGCGTTGTTCTCAACATTGCTCTGCTGTTACATTTATAGCTCAGACCCTCAACGCTTAAACTGTGCTCTGTTTTAAGCCCTTTCTGCACCACTGCCAATTGATGTGCATGTGTAATGTGTGGCGGCGGCATCTTCTCCTCGAGGTGCTCCCAGGGGCCTGAAGGTCTGGGGCTATTTGCAGAGGTAGCAGTCACACACGGCTGCATAGGCCGACTGTTAAACCAGACTCTGTCCACTCATCAGAGTTTAGACCTACAGCGAACACAACACAACAGGCAGTTGAGCTGTTTCCAGCGCGATGGGGTAAACCTCAGCATGATCCAAAACGTAAAGTGTAATTAAGTGATTTGTGCATTATAAAGCAGTGAGCATCATGGAAATGAGCCTTTTGTGTTAATGCTCGCAGTTCCTCTGCTAGTTACGTACAGGCACAATTGAATCTTAAGGGAGATTGTTAGGAGCGGCGCCGTGCCGTTGCTCAATTCTCAAAGCTTGTTCTCCAAGGACACGCACATACTTGGAGACTCAAAACCCTTAGCCGGAGCATACATGGATGGGTGACCGACTTTAATCCCTTTTTTATTTTGGCCAATGTCACACAGAGGTCACCCTGGTTACTTTGTGATTGTCTCACCATCATGGTCCAACACCTCAATTTCTTCATTTCCCTCCGCGAGCCTGGAGATTGCGCTGAAGTACCGAGTCATATTTAGCCTTTATTTAAGAAGATTGGGCGCACGTGGGGGGAGGCAGATTGTCAGGCCGCCGATGGCCAGCCGGATCAATAGAACACAATTGAGTTCTCCAATCTGAGAGACTAGCTGTAGTGAAGGTGGCACTTACGGGGTGATCGCCTCTGATGAAGACTTTATTAGCCTCTATTGACAGATTCATTTGAGATCGCTCTCCCTTCATCGCCCCCACTCCCTTTTCCACTGTAAAGTAATATAGTCTAAGCCCACCTTTAAAAGTTTGGTGGCTTGATGAAAACGAGTTATTTTGTCCTGTGTTTTTCGACTTGATTTCAAAGTAACTTTTGTTATTCTTCTGCCGTCCGCGATTTCTTTCGCTTTTCGTGAACTTGGGTTAAGTGGTAAGCACTTGAGACCCTTGTTATCAGATACCGCAGCACAGTCAAAGAGTTTGGACTGTAGGAATGGAGCATTGCTGAGCTTTCCCCTCATGGGAATGCAAAGAAAACATCGAGTCCCCCAAAGAAAGTGTGCAGCAGAAGATTTGCTTTTGGAAGCGGGTCTAGAAGCAACCTGGCTGCGGATAAGACAAAGTGTGGAAATTTTCAAATGATTTTCTATTTTATCTCCAAACAAGCCGCAGGCGGATTGGATATCACAAGCTAATACTCGGCGGTCATATGTGCGCTCTGTAAAATTGGCTGAGGCTCGACTCGGGCTTTGAAGTCACGAGTTGTTTTTTTGCGTCAAAGTAGCTGTTCTGGGGAACCCTAATCCGCCCAGTATTGCTATGGCAAGCTGCGCCTTAGCTCGACACTCGCAGCAGGTTTTCGTGACTCCACTAATTTTTCCATTGTTGTTTTACCTGGTTTGTATTTTGTAACCCTCGCCCCCTCTCTCAGAGGGGCTGTTCCCCGCGACCGGGGTGGATTGGCCCGAGGTGCTTTCCCATCCACAAATAAAGAGCTCGGCGGAGATAATGAAGTATGTTGCATCCTCGGCTGCAGCTGTGTTTTGTTGGCTCTGTTAGATTAAGGCTTTATGTGTGGTGGACTCGGCTTATTTCTTATAAAAGCTCATCAATAAACTCAGAGCTCCAGGCCGAAATTCGTATTGTGCAACTGGCTGTTTGTTTCTTGACCTCTACTGTTCTCATCAGAAAATGACTGTATGGGGGCACACTGTGCAGAGTGATTTGGGTTTTTCGTGTTCAGCATAGCCAGAAAGGCTGGTTAATTGCTTAATCACAAAGTGCACGTGTTGGATATGATATTGTGCAAATGTTTTTGGCTAGAGAATAACCACCATACAGCATACAAGTGCATTAGGTTTAATCAGTATTGAAATGTGAAGTTTACTTGAGTTTTGTTGATTATTTGCAGACATTAATTTAGCTGTTTATGTAGTGCATCCGGAAAGTATTCATAGCGCTTCACTTTTTCCACATTTTTTTCTTACAGCCTTATTCCAAAATAGATTAAATTCATTAATTTGCTCAAAATTTTACACACAATACCCCATAATGACAATGTAATGCAAAAAACAAAAAACAAAAAAAAAACTGACAAATCACATGTACATAAGTATTCACAGCCTTTGCTAAATACTTTGTTGATGCACCTTTGGCAGCAATCACAGCCTCAAGTCTTTTTGAATATGATGCCACAAGCTTGGCACACCTGTCCTTGGAATTTTTGGCCATTCCTCTTTGCAGTACCTCTCAAGCTCTATCAGATTGGATGGGAAGTGACGGTGCACTGCCACTTTTATATCTCTTCAGAGATGTTAAATAGAATTTAGGTCTGGGCTCTGGCTGGGCCGCTCAAGGACATTCACTGAGTTGCCGGCACCAATCAGCATCATGTTGTCTATTGGCCATCGGCAAAGGACGATGGCATCGTCTATTGGCCCAATCCTACTTGACAACACAAACACTTCTGTCACCTCAACAGAAACCCCGCCTCTGCTTTCATTTGATTGGAGAATGAAAAAGATGCGTCTAACGTAACAAAATTTTTCCACTTAGACTTGATTGTTTTTCAACTGCAGGGCATGGCACACAATGCGAAACGGAAGGCGCAGCAGGCGTTTAAAACGCGAGGTGCGCAGGGCGTTTAAGCAGCATGGAAAACACTTGGCCAATAGTAAATCATTCAAAAAAGGCACCTCTCAATGCAAAAAGCATGTTGGTTGTGATTTGCTTCTAACTAAGGTCGGCCGTAGGCTTGCATTCCTGACCTTAACACATAGAAACAACTATTTATTATTTTCAACTATTTTGCTGTCCTTAACCTTTTGTGATTGCATGCAGTTACTTCAGAAAGTAATGCATTACAAAATTGAATTACTTTTGCATTACTTTTTCTGACCTGGCTGAGGCTTGATATGTTTCATAACTTGCAGGATTATTATTTTTTTAAAGGAGCTCTGCAATTAACAATGCACCGTATAACCTACACCTTCATTTGCCTTAAAAACACATTAAAAAATAATAATGTTGGATAATTTTATCTTCTGAGAACTTCCTCGAGATACTGTACATGTCATATATACAGATTAATGAAAGTGTAAAGCAATGTGTTTGCTACTTTTGTACTTTTTTTCTTACTGGTGAAGTAAAGTCGCTGTAAGACAATCCTCTCTTCCCTTTCTTTGATCAATATAATGAGAATATTTTCGTTGCAGAAATGTAAGGCTCTGCCATCTTGGTTTCTATCTGTTCCTGCGTTCTCTCAATGCGTGCCGGATTCAACGTGACTACATTTATTTTAATTTAGCTATTTATTTTTTCTAAGCTATTTAATTAAACAAAAAAAGTAACCTGCATTACATATTTAAAATGTAACCTAAATATTATCACTTAATTTTGAAAAGTAATGTTACTTTACTCATTACCTAGAAAGGAAATATTATTGCGTAACTTGGGTTACGTGTAATGCGTTACCCCCAACACTGGTTGCATGTACCATGTACTGTTTGTCCCTCCTGAAGGTGACCCAAAACAGCTCTCAGCTCATATAAATATCCACCATTCAAACCCTCAAATCATCAGTCTCACTAAAGAATTACTAAAAATACTCATGTCGAAATCGGAAAGTCCCAAAAAAGAACGTAGTACTCTTACTCTCTAAAAAGCAGTATCTGTGTATCCCTAATGATGAGAGAGAGGCTTTAATTTTCCCAGCAGCTGTTACTCCAGCGGGCTCGAAGCACAGTTCTCCCACCCCGACCAGTTCAGTCATTTTCATTAATGCTAAATCCTACATCCTACACAGCTGCTTTAAACAAGAGCTTTTGGAAACACAGTTGTAATAAGATACCCAGCTCTACCAAGGTGAATAAGAAACAGCCCTCACTTAACCCGCGCCCTGGCTCTACCTTTCTGTCATTTTGCATCTTTTGCACATGTATATGCATACAGGATTGTAATTTTAGCCATGACATAGCTCATATATATATATTTTGCTCTTGTATATGTCAATGGTTTAATCTTAGCAATCGAATAATTTGTCTTACGCACTGGAAATAGTAACTGACTGCTGTTTTATTTGTCATGTGTTCAGTTAAACTGCTTTTCTCTGATCTAGTGTCTTTTGTCATTCCAGATCTTTCCGATGTGGAACCCAATGTGTTTCTAAGACCTTTTCTGGAGGTGGTTCGCTCAGAAGACACAACTGGACCAATCACAGGCCTTGCTCTCACATCGGTCAACAAGTTCTTGTCTTATGGACTTATAGGTAAGTAAAAAAAAAAAAGATGAAAGTAACAATCAAGAGATTCCCAGACACTAGGGGCCCTATTATACACCCGGCGCAAGGCGCGACACAATTGTTGTTTGCTAGTTTCAGCTCGGCGCAATAGTCGTTTTGACAGTTTGCACCACGCTGCATTTTCTGGTCTAAAAAAGGAGGCATGTTAAGGCGCATTGCTGGCGCGTTGCTAATTTGAGGAACAACTGTATAATAGACTGTTCAGTAGACCAGATCAAAGCAGGTCTATAGTCCAGTGCAGAGCGCGTTGGTTGTGCTCTTGCTTACACACTGCTTAATACACACAGGATGTACAGCAACACGCAAATATCTTTACAGATGCTAAAGAATTAAAAGATTAAAATATTACAAAAAATATTATTTTCTAGCCTACATAAATATAAAAACCACCGGCTCCATGCCTTCATCTCGAGGGGCTTTTTTAGTTTATTCATGACAATTTGCTTTAGTGTAATGTTATTATTAGCAGCAGTGTTATTTATTATATGCATATTTATATTTGTTTTAATAAAAACATGCTTAGATTTGTCCACCTGTCAGGTTTTAGACCATATGGGGCACAGCATGTGTATTTGGAAATAACTCCAAATGGGGAGCTAATAAATCAGGGGGTTAATAATTCTCACTTGTGTGTGTGTGTATATATATATATATATATATATATATATATATATATATATATATATATATATATATATATATATTCGATATCTTAATTCGATTTCTGGTTAGCTCAATTGGGACTTTAGTTGGGTTAAAGTCATGTAATCAAAAATTGCTTGTTTATATGGTAGACTCTTAATCAGAGTGTTGTCTTAATCATAATAATATCAGATTATTGGTGTCCATGTAAACGTAGTCAATGTTCCTGATGAGTGAACTGTATTTTCTCACTTGCGTAGAAGAGCTTGTTTTGAAACGGTTGTGAACGGCACAGACTGTTCTTTTCCTTGTTAGGGAAATATGACCAGATGCTGCCTGTGACGGTCAAAAGTGTGAAACCAGCGCTTCTATTCAAGATACAACCATATCTAATTATTCTCCCCACCTATAAATGGTCAGTTTGTTTTGGGGGAAAAAAAAAAAGATTTTTCAAGCAGCTTGTATATAGTTTGCAAACTAAAGGTGCTCAAACCTGTACAATGATTTATTAATGAATAGTTTCTAGAATTTGACTTTATTTGCTCCTTTCTTTCTTTTAAATGCTTGAGAATCTTTGTTCTGGAAAAATATTTATTAAACATTATCTTATATTTCACATATTGTAATTGATTGAATTTTTCTTCACAAGGCCTCAGCGCGTTAGAAATGATTCCAGTGCACACAAATAAAAATATTTACAGTTAAATTCAGAGTTATTAGCCCCCTTTGAATTCTTTTTTCTTTTTTAAAAATTTCCCAAATTATGTTTAACAGAGCAAAGAGATTTTCACAGTATATCTGATCATATTTTTTCTTCTGGAGAAAGTCTTATTTGATTTATTTTTGGCTAGAATAAAAGCAGTTTTTAATTTTTTAAAATCCATTTTAAGGTGAAAAAATTATTAGCCCCTTTAAGCTATATATTTTTTCTGTAGTCTACAGAACAAACCATCGTTATTGACCTTATTCTACAATTCGAAAGTGCGCCTGATTTTGCGATTGTTTTAGAAGTTCCGATTAGCTTGCCTATGGGAGAAATGACTAGGAATAATAAATGACAGAAAATGGCCATACTACTCGCTCTACCATCAAGTGTTTGCATGACTATACAGAAGAAGTCGAATAATAAAATAAGAAAATATCAGTTTGCAACATTAAGCTGCAGATCAAGCTGTTTTTTACATCTAAAAATAAATGGAAGTGCATGAGACCGCTCATACGCAAAGAGTAAGGTGAATGCAATAACTTGCCTAATTACCCTAACCTGCCTAGTTAACCTAATTAACCTAGTTAAACCTTTAAATGTCACTTTAAGCTGTATAGAAGTGTCTTGAAAAATATCTAGTCAAATATTATTTATTGTCATCATTCATTTCCTTTTCTTGTCTGCTTAGTTCCTTTATTAATCCGGGGTCGCCACAGCGGAATGAACCGCCAACTTATCCAGCAAGTTTTTACACAGCGGATGCCCTTATAGCCGCAACCCATCTCTGGGAAACATCCACACACATTCACACACACACTCATACACTATGGACAATTTAGCCTACCCAATTCACCTGTACCGCATGTCTTTGGACTGTGGGGGAAACTGGAGCACCCGGAGGAAACCCACGCGAAGGCAGAGAGAACATGCAAACTCCACACAGAAACGACCCAGCGACCTTCTTGCTGTGAGGCGACAGCACTACCTACTGCGCCACTGCCTCGCCTATTGTCATCATGGCAAGGATAAAATAAATCAGTTATTAGAAATGAGTTATTAAAGCTATTATGTTTAGAAATTAGTTGAAAAAATGGTATCTTCGTTAAACAGAAATTGGGGAAAAAATAAACAGGCAGGCTAATAATTTAGGGGGGCTATTAATAAAAAAGACTTCAACTGTATGTATTTTTTAATACATAATTTTAAATGATTTTGCCAACCAAAATAACTTTAAAAAATAAGCGTTTTGAAGTCATATTGAATTAATTTACACTTTGCAGTTTATACTTTTAAGCTACAGTGGTCATGTGTTTTAAAGCTGCATCTAAGTTGATATTTAGATATGGTGACAATTATTCAACTTTTCAATTTATTATTTTTTTTCTCCAAATGAAATTTAAACTCTTGAAATTAAAACTAAATCAAAAATGATAATAAAAAACATGATATTTTAAAATATAAAAAAAACATGTTTTAATTATTTTGTTTGTATTAAAAAGGAAATATTAAACTATTTTTTGAGTCACTGATTAGTTAAAAAAACTGATTTGCAAAATCAACCAGTTAACTCAAATAAATCTACGAATGGCTCATTTAATCTTTTATTCACCTGTTTTTCTTCCAAATATTTCTGTGTTTCTGTCCTTCTGTTCAATTCTGCATGTCTTTTGTTTGTAATATAGTTGGTAAAACTAAACAAAAACAGACAATATTGTGTCTGAAATCTAACCACTTTTGTGCATTCACTGAACTGTTGGATAGAACCACTATCACATTTTTACTTGTGCTTTTGGTCATACAGGCAGGTTGTTAATAGTGTTCTTTATAATTAATTAAATGAACATATTAAACAACATCAACTGTAGTTATTACATGAAAAATGCGATATAAATCATACTGTATATCTCAGTTACGTGGATTAATCATATAGATTTCCATTGGAATGCAACAGATGCACATGTCAAATATATGAATCCCGGACACCCAGAGAGCTGCTGTCACCCCAGATGCACCACTGTTCCTAATCCCACATGATGCCAGCATCTCGTCAGGAAGGGTTGCTATGACAACATGCACTGTAGATTTCCAAACCTTGGCCCTCTTTGCTTGTAGCACAAGGGATAGCAGTCACACATGCATACATTCAGTTGAGCGTGATTCAAGACATGCTGTCTAACAAAACTAGCAGCAGCACACCTGGCTGTAAATCTCATATTGTTATGTGTTTTTGTCAAGTGGACAACATTACATACAGGTGTAAATTTCATATGGGAAACACATTTGTGAGTGTTCTATTTATAAATCCATGTGCAGTTTGTCAAATTATTTTATGCAAAGCAACGCAGACATGATTTCATGCACCAAAACCTTTAGCATTATGTTATGCCTGATCGCTTGGATAAAATATAAGATTTTATTTGTATAAAGACACCCAAAACACCAAAACACTCACTTTGAGACATTTGCAGTCAAGTTCAGGTGTAGAGATGAATATTTATATGTAATAATATAATGTATATATTTATTATATAATAATAATTTATAGTGCTGTCAATCGATAAAAAAAATCAACTAATTAATTGCACCTTTTTAAAAAAATTAATCGCGATTAATCACATTTAAAATACTGAAACTTGTAATTTTGGCTATTCAAATGTTAAATTAATGTAAACACAAGACAAAAACTATTTAAATTCAAAATATAATTGTTTATTAGAATTAAAATTCAAAATATAATTGTTTATTAGAATTTTTGTTCAACTTGTAACACAGATTTCTTCATGTTAACAACATACCCACAAGAAACCATCAAGATCCTGGCTTGACAGCCATATTTATTAAAGAAATTTAAACACAGGCATGTTAATGACATTTAAAATTTCAAAATAATCAATGCCAATAAAGAAAACATTGATTTCCATGTTGGATTCTAAGTGGACTGCAAAAAAATGCCATAATACAGGAATTGCAGATATGGAAAATGAAAAATTATAATAATAAACTATAGAATACAAACTGTTGCACTCATTGTAAAGTTTTATTGCTGTGAGTTGAGAACATTAGTTATAGAGTAGAAACAATTTAGCTTAATCCACCTTTACATTCATCCAGTTGCTAAGACTAGGAGTATCCTGCAAGTGCACAGAGACTCCCAAATGCCCGCAAATGAACGATAATTTCTCGCAAACCGGTCGGTAAATACATTGCATATCCCTCTCCCCCGCATCACTCCTAGCTCTTCAGGTAGCCTATGTCGCGCGGAACTCACCCCTACCGTCCTTCAGGTACGTCTCGCGCGCACACGCCCCTACTCAGATACGTCGCTCACTCCACCCCTGACACCCCTCAACGGGCCTGACACAGACACACACACAACGCGCTGCAGACATTTTGGCCCCAACGGCCTTCCATAAGGGAGCGACTCCCCTCAGATTCAACACGCATGATCACGTTCATCAAATTTGCTTAAACTCCTACTTTATTTCACAAGGATTCTGACACAACAACGCGAAGCAGATGCTTTCGTTGCGTTTAATGAGGAAACACGCTAAACTTGGAGGGCTCATGCTGAAAGGCAGAGTAATGCCCTGTCTTTGACAGCTCGCGACTTCACCGGAGA